CTAAAGACGACCATGGGTCATGAGGAACGGACCGATGGTCCCAGAGCGTTAACGGGGAAACAGAAAGCTGGATGGTCAACTCACACACACACAATCGACAAAATGGATGCACACATCCAAAGAGACACCTGCCTGTTCTGGTTTACAGAGTGCTCGTTTCTCGTCGGCCGCTCATTTCTTCGCGCGCTTGAGGGGCGCCTATAAACGGCTGCTGGGAACCGTGACCGAAAGACCGCTGTCTGAACTTGAGCACCATCCCCCCGATTTTGCTTTAAACGTGCAGAAACATACTTGTGTGTCCACTTCAGGGCTTCCAGCGGTAACAATCGAGTGAACAAGCAGGGTGTAGCCACCCTGCCGATGCGCCGCGACTTGAGCGACCGACATGAATTGAGTATGCTGCACGCATAGGGCGCTAAGTAGGCGCCTGTATACGACAAGAGGAAGGGATACATTTGGACGTGTGCGTCCGTAATGGCGTCGGTTCCCTGTATGGGGTTTGAAATTTGAACCCAATCATCAGCAGTCCAATTGTGCCTCGTTCATAGAACCCCGTCCTCGTACCAAGCGATGCGGGGAAATGCCCCGCGATAGGATATCCATCGCTATCTGGGAAATAGCGGTGAAGTGAATTTGCAGAGCATCTCATAGGTGAGCAGTTCTCCGAGTCGAGAGTCTTAGAGGATAGCGCAAAGACACGTACATGCCTGTGAGTTGTGATAGCGCCAAGATATCCCAAGAGATCGGGGGGCTAGCGAATGTGATCGGTTTGGCTTGAATGCATTGTCTTGGGGCGAAGTACAACGCATGTACTGAAGCAAGCAGAGGTAAGTATGTATGCATATGGGAAGACGCCGTTGCCGCCGGTTGTTAAGCATGCATGGTAGCGGTAGAAGAATCGACGAGGAGGCAAAGGCTAGCGGCGGACGCAGGTTGGTCGTATACACTGGACGTTCATCATACGTCTGAACCGCAATCGCCGCACTCTCAGTCAGACAACGAAACGAGTGTATTGGCGCACGTATGCAGCACAGTTGAACATGGATAAGTTGACCGTAGCTGCCAAAACGCCATCATACACACTCGTCGACATCTCAAGTGTCGACACCGAATTGTCTCCTCTGTGCAGTATAATCAGCGAGGACGTTGGAAATTTGCAGAATATACGACCCGTACCAGCTGCAAGATCGGGTCTCGTTCCGACGGAGGTAGCGTATTGAGCTGCTCTTGCGTCAAGTTCAGCACTTGCATCAATATGTCCTACGAAACAGCGGCCATCAGAAACGCAGCCTCATCGTGGACAGCGGTAGTGCGTACCCTCTGCGCTTGGTCGAGATCGGGGAGACGAGGTGGCGCAGGCTGTTGAGAGTGCATCACAGGCGGAGGCATATGCGCGGGGGGCATCTGCTGTGGGTGCGCCGCGACAGGCGGGGGCGCGGGAGGCGGCGGACCGCGATAGTAAGGAGGCATTTGCGGCGGAGGCTGCCCATACATACTCGGTGGCGGAACTGGAGGTGCGGGGTGCTGCATTGGGGTAGGAGCGGGTGGCATTGGGGGCGCATACATCGACCCTGGCGGAAGCGCAGGTGTCGACATGTAGGAAGGAGGAGCGGGATGGGAGGGTTGTGTTGGAGGTGGCGCTGACGTTGCGGGGGGGATTGTCGCGCCAGTGGCTGCGAGCATGCGCTGGGGTGATTGTTTGAGGGCGCGGAAGGCATAAGAGAGACATTGGAGACATACTTGGAGGATGGCAGGGTCGACTATCTTGTGCAGGAGAAGTGCTTGGAAAAGCGCATATCCTAGTTGGGGGTGCGCCACCAATAGTGCACGAGCATGTTCAGGGTGTGTGATGATGAACGCCTATAAGTCGGGTGCCATCGAAGATCAGATGAAGCAGTGAGATGTTTGCTCAAAGATTGCGGACCTTCATCTGCGCCAAGACTTCGAGAATCTGACCCGGGTCAGTGGTCGCGAGTACATGGCTGATCGCATCCAACGCGTTGGACCCATGTGGGAGAGGGACGCCTTTCGGCAAGTGTTGGAGGAAGGCATTGGGGTCGTTACTCCGACCGAGTCGGTCGTGGTGATCACCATATCTGTCGCGGTCATGTCGTTCCCGTTCGTTGCGTTCGCGCCATTGGGCGCGTGTCTCGCCACCGTCTATGATCTCGCCACGCACCGTTGTCTTGCCCTCAAGGAACGGATCCGAGTCTGCGAGGTCGATTCGGAGTGGCCTACCGCCAATTTCATAGCCATTGAGGTTGCGAACGGCGGAGGCTGCGGTTTCATGGTCTAACGATATAGGAAGTTGGTATATTGTGCGCATATGACATGTCTAAGATGAAACTGACCGGCAAACTCGCAGAAGCCATACCCTTTAGGCTTGCCTGTATCTCTGTCAAATACTAGTCTACGGCGCGGAGGAGCCATGAACACTGTGAGATGATGTGGGGATGGGGAATGTGGACGTACCGCAGACCAACAACCTGGCCGACACTTTTGAAGACGTCTATGAGCTGGTCCTGATCTCATTGTCATGAACGCCCGCTCGGCTCTTCTTAAAACAATCACTCACTTCCGCCATGTTATAAGGGACATTGCCCACTGTGCAGGCAACGCTGGTTCAATCGCATGGTATTACAGACAAGAGGAGAGCCACACACCAAAGACGACTTTGCTCATTTTGTCCTATGCTCCTTTCTGTCACAAGTTTCCTATACCTTCAAGCTGTAATCACGGATGTTGAGGCTGCGAGATCAAACTTCGGATAGACTTGAGCAGGTTGAGGTTGCGTTATGTAGTTGCGCGTTGAGTTGGAGAATGCTTTCACTGGACCGTCAAGGGAGTTTGCTGACTTCGCAAGGTATTCGAGAGTCCTCAGAATCACAAACAGCACGACGAGGATGGAAAGCCGTTGTTCGAGTCCGCCGGAGACGTAGCGGCGGTCAACAAGCAATAAACAGCGGCGCCAACGGTACTTGCTCTGCAAAAAAGATCGCAGACCGGAGCGCGCAAAATCCGGTTTGGCCCTGTTTGACCACTCGGGGAAACGCCTCCCATGCCGGAAGCCTCTTTGCAGCATGGTCTATATTTCAGCTGAAACCCCACCAAAGATATTCAAGAGGTTGCATTTTGGAGACAAAGAATATCGTTTTGCATGTTTGCACCCGATTGAAAGCGGGCTCAGACTCAAGCACGGTCTTGTCGAACGGAGTCCTTGTGAACGCCCCGGTGTCCGAAACAGGAATCCTCGCCGTAGCCGACGGGGGACAGAACACGGCCAAACAGGATTTTGCGCACTTCGGTCTGCAATCTTTTTTGCAAAGCACTGTAATCGTGGGAGTACAAGCTGCAGACGTCCGATAATATGGACTCATCAACGTTGTATCTCGCTCATTACCTTGTTGCGACTGCCATGTCGTTCTTTGTGGCTTTTGACGATGCTCATGTCCATAAGGAACGTCTCTTTGAGGTCATGGAGGAAGAGCGATAGCAACAAAGACTCAATATCCTTGTCAACTGGGAGTCCTGCGAGCTGGTGTGTCTCGTGGCCTTTGTTCCTCTGTACGTAGCATAACCATGGCTCACAATATCCTGTCGTTCAAACTAGGAGCGAAGGTGGAGGAGTCAACGTGCACGAGATCGAGGAGAACGCTTGTGGTCCATCCCGTCTCGTTGCCTTCATAATCTATCATCACCTGCGTATACAATTTTGCTTTCCTGTGCTCATCTCCATACCAACTCCTTTTGTCGGCTCACACGAGATCAAATCTTATATTGACAACGCCATTAGTAAGTCGCCACTTATTCTCGCGATCTGCTTGGGACACGGCCGTGCATCGGAGACAACGACCGCAGATTTCGAGTCTCGACTACCACAAGTCCATTGATATATATGACAGTTGCACTGCGGTCGTCCATATACTTAGGAACTAAAAAGATTGCGATTTGCTCGGTCTAGGAACCCATCTGTCAAAAGTGACAGATTCTTCGGCAGATCACCATCCTACCACACCCATGTCTCGTCTCCGTGGCATCCCATTCATCCGCGTGTCGAGTAATTTCCACGCTGCGGGCTCATTCGCGGGGTTCCGACGCCACTGTTACATTGAGCCTCTAAGTTTGCTTCCCGAGAACCGCGGTTGCTCATTCATCTTGCATTTGTAGGCCGACGTGCCCTAGACTCGTCCCGCAACAGTGTCGTTGTCTTGGTCTCCGATCATGGGGGGTTATCCTGTGTAAGAGAAACAAAAGCAAGCACGTACTCCCATGGGAGCACCATAGTCCACCATGTCTTTATCGTCACTGTCACCTCTCGCTTCTTTGTTACCTCCAGGAGTATCCGTCACCAAGGGACTAGAGCTGTTCTTCCAAGTCGTTCAAGATACGTTTACGACGAACCTCGTAGCAGGTGAGTTTGCGAACCCTAAGATATCTATGGAGCGACACTCTCACTTACTCTTCGAATCAGCTGCAGCGGTGACATGGATGGGATACGACATCTGCTTGACGGTCGCTGAGGAGGTATGAGCGCCATCGTGGCCAGTGTTTTGTTCGTTTACTAACAGTGTGCAAATCAGGTTGAACTCGTTTGGAGGTGAATCACTAATGGCATGCGGGTACAGTTGTTAGCCCTTAGTCTTACATGTCTGCACGCCACCGCAGGGCAAGATGGACGTTATCCAAGTTTCTGTACATTGGTGTCAGGTATTATGGCTTTGCAGCGGCATTGTGAGTCGCGTCACTGGTTCACATCGACGTCTATGTTTGGCTCATTATTCAAAGGTTCTATTTCGTAGGTGAGGCATGTCGGAGAATGTCTGGACTGGACTGTCGTTGAACCCCCTGCCGTAGTGAACACAAGCATGTCAGTACCCTTTCAGGTAAGTCAAATGGTTTGCCTGGGGCGTCTAGTGAATCTTACATGCGTGTTATAAGCTGTAAGCCGAATCGTTTGCGTCTCTGAAGCTACCATCGTCGTTGATATCACTTTCGAGATGCCGTGGTTGGGGCTACTACGGAGCGTTGTGAGTAAACTTCATCAGGCTAGTTCATGACTGCATACTGATCGATGGTGTATGCAGCGGCGCAACGACACCTATTGTGCTCCTGAGCGAGGCATCATTCCTCCTACGCATATGGGTAGCTTATGGAAAGAGCAAGAAGAGTATGTTGATCTATCCTCATACGCATATCATTGAAATGACGCTGTACTGGTCGACTCCACTAAGTCCTCGCCTTCGTTCTCGTTTGCTATATCGGTGAGTCTCACATGCACTTCCTCAGTGCGCTTTGAGCTGACTTGGGCATAGCCGAGATCGCAGTATGCATGATTTTGACCTATCACAGCCTCGTACCTAACTCGGGGACCATCAGAGCTCTCTTGCGATCGGTATCGTAGAGGGGCGAAACTTAATTGTCTTGCAGCGTCCATCCGGTTTTCCCCTCCCCGGGTGTTTCACCACTGCCACGGTTTCTCTCAAAAATACCCTGCCGGCTTGGTGCGCCTCGCATTATATATCATGGCATTGAATATCATCTGATTTCCTCTATTGTTGTTCAGGGTCGTGACCTGTGCTACCTCCAGTACGCTTCGTTTACTACAAGCCGTATCGAGCCGTTTCACTCACGTTTCCTGTCATAGCCTCCTATCTAGTGCTAATGATCCATCAGTTCGTCAATAGTCACGCATTCAAAGCAGAGCTGATCAGAGTACGACGTGATCCCCTTGGCGAGTGGTTTCAACTGCACAAATTAAGTCCGCTGGTATACCTGCTTGTCACGGATGGCCTTCTCTATTTCGCAATGTCAGTTGGGCACCTTCGACCTAGGTATCTCATCTGATTCTGGAGCATGCGCTGACACACTGCCTTCTGTAGGATGTTCTGTGAGTCAAGTCCTCCCTAACACGTATTTGAAGGCCAACACATGTCGGTGGGACACAGCTGCTAGCACGCTGAATATGGCCATAACCATCCACTTCAATCGCAGAGAGATTCAAGCCACGGGCGTGCCGTAAGTGCGTCGTGATTGCCTATGAGTATGTGGCTGACTAGCGTGCGGTTCATAGGGTGATTCTCGCCGTCTCCTCGATATCGGTGAGTATGGTCTCCGGTCCTCCGGCGCGAGTAGTCACAACATGCTAACGTCGATTTTCCAGGCTTCGCGCCTTACGCTCAACTTGCGTGGGGTCACCGCTCTGCAGCGCGAGAAATTCCCAAGTCAATATACCACCATGTACTTTGAGCCGGCAGACGCACCAAGAGGGGGCTCGGCTGAGGATCCCCGAGAGGCTTCGATCGCGGACCGACCGTCTGCCACGATTGTTGATGCATAGCCTCCGCCGGCGTTCTCAGGACGCTTAGCTAAGGCAGCCGTCGTTTCTCTATCAGCTCCCTAACTCTATGTAAATAATCTGCTGTACTTCAGCCCGAGGCTCGTCACTCCAATCTATCTCCATTGGTCATCCAGCAGACTCCAGGCGAACTGAAAACTTTCTCCGGTTCTGCAGGGGCACGCTCCAATCTTAGCTCGCCGACTTATCGCAATAGGCTGCGAGATGTTGATCACCTATGATTTGTCGTGCGTAAGTCCACCGTGTCTCTTCCTTGATTAACTACAAGGGCTTCTTACATGTCGAGTAGGGGCCTCACTTGGCCAAGGGATGTATTCAGAGGCTACCTCGTTGCTCGCCTGCCCTCTCCCACTTGCGATGTCCGGCGGACACTATGGCAACTCAGAGATATTCAACAGTATTGCGACTCGCACGGCATGGAAACAAATCTGTCAGAGTGAGCTATGCTTTTGGCGGTTCTTCGTTCTCATCTCCCTTCTGTGGCCCTCCCATTCGTCGGACTATTTGGCAAGTCCCACGTCGCTGATTCATGCGTGAGCCTCCGATGCCAGAGTTGTAACACTTGGCTTCTAAGTATGTCTGCTCCCGAGAACCACGGGTCGCTCATCTATCTGCAGCCGCCCACGCCCTAGACTCGTTGATCATCTACCGCAACATAGTCCTGAATTACGAAGCTGAAGTCTATGTTACGGCAACAAAAGCGAGCACCCATCCTCCCACTGGCAGAGGTCCAAGCATAGGAAACCACCATGTCTCTCTCCTCGTTGTCCCCTCTCGCTGCATTGTTACCTCCGGGGGTGTCTAATACTGTCTATTATTGACTCACATAGGATGTTCTGTAAGTTGAGCTTCTTCTCAAATGGGGTACACGGTTAACATACAAGATCGCGTGCAGCTGCCAGCACCCTGAACATGGCAATCACTATTCATTTCAATCGCAGATAGATCGGAGCCTGAGTCCAAGCCGTGGGTGTACCGTACGTGCGCCGCAGGTATCGCTGGTGAGCGCGCAACTAATCAGGAAATCATGAGTGGGTGATTCTCGCAATTGCCTCTGTCTCTGTTAGTATCCCTCGATTCTCCTATGTATGTCAAGCGTGACAGGGTGATGGTCATCTCTCAGGCTTCGCGCCTCGTACTCAACCTGCGCGGAGCTACCGGTAAACAGCAGTTCTAAAGTGACCAAACCACGATCCGGTTCGAGCTCCAAAACCTAGCCAAGGGTCGATCAGCTGAGGCAAGCTGGGGAAGGTCCACCCCGATCCTCTGCCACTGTGCACGTGTAGATGTCGGGCAAAATTGATTCAGACAAGGTGGGAACTCTATAGTACTAGGGCAACGCAGTTGTAACTAGTCTACAAACCTGGGATTCGAGCTTCGAGCCCTTGGTGCATTGATCTGGTCTGCACCTGATCGCCAATCACTGGTCAGCTTCGTGTGGGACATAACTGGACTTCGTTCCTTCTCATATTACCGGATTAGTCAAGCCGTTTCGTGCCTAACTTCGCCGTCTGAGAGGAAACTTCTTATAGCAGACTGTCCGATCCTCAGCGCGGCTCATTCCCGAGAACCACGGCGATCACCAAATATACGGGCGGTAATCATGCAGAACACGGGGTCAGTGCCTCGTCCATTGTCTTCACACCCCTATGTACCAGTGTTGCAGCCAAACGCACGAGGAGGGGACGGGCTGAGTATTGGCTTCCGCCGCCTAAGGGAGCGTCTATTATCGGCAATGTCCGGTAGCGCTGTCCGCAAGGTCCGTCGCCGCCCTGAGCCAAACACGCTCGACGTACTTCGTGGTGCACAGAGAGGCCGACCGTCCCTTGGCTGTCTGCCACGGTCATCGATGCATGAGGTGTCCTCCGCAGGCGGTCCCTGGGTGCTTAGAGCAGGCGGCTGTTGTTCGTCTATCGAATCCCTAGCTCCATGTAAAGGGATCGCTATTCGACAGGGCCGTTAATCAAACATATTCCAGGCAAACTTGAGACATTCTTCAAGTCTGCAGGACGCTCCAATCTTAGTTCACCCGCCTTCTCGCAACGGGTTGTTTGATGTCGATCACCTAAGATGAGTCCACCTCGTTGCTCTTTTGTTGATCCGTTACAAACACACATGACTCATGCTCGAAATACCATGATGGTATTTTGAGTATGTAGCTGATCTAGTTAGTAGATGGGTATCAAGAGGCTGCAAGCGATCTCATTGGCCGCACCTTCGCATCCTGCCCTGCCTACACGGCAGATCGGATACTGTGATCAACGGCCCTGTTGGGCCGAGCCTACTCGAACCCGACTGGGACTGGTAAACCCACTCACACGCACCACACAAGCAGAAACAGGAGTGCGATTCGCAGTCGTAGAAATCAATCTATCGAACTGAGTTACGCCTTCGGAGGTTCTCCATACTCTCCTCGCTTTGCATCCTCCCATTGGGTGGGACGCTTTCCACGTCGCGAATTACGTAGGGGCCTCTGACACCATCGTTGTCGCCCTATTTGCCTCTTGCGTCTGCTCCCCGAGAATCACGGGTGCTCACATATCTGCAGCCGCTCATGTCCCAGGCTCCTCGATCATCTGCCGCATCATGAACGTTCTGGACCTTGATCACGATATGATTCCTAGCTTAGTGAGACGAAAGCAAGGACTACCTTCCTACACCTTGCCTCTCTCGTGGTTGGTCCCTCCCCCTGTTGTGACTGCCAGTAGTATCTATAAACTGACCAGCTCTACTGTTTCCATGTCTACGTCACCAGTGATGTATGGCCTTATCAAGATGTAGAGTCGCACGGGTATAGGCACATATACCACCGGACCATCGAACGCCTATCAGCTTCATATGGGATATACAGTGACTTAACTGAACTCCGTGGGTTCCCATACCGGATTGTCAAGCCGTTCCGTGCCAAAGCCGTCTTCCTGAGAGGGAAATCCCAGTTGCGGATTGTTGCAGCCTCAGCCCGAGAACCACGGTGGCGGGCCAGCAGACGGCAGATCCCATGCAGAACCGTTATGGGGACAGTGCCTTGCATTCGAGAGCCGCAGTCTGGCGTTCACTTATATACTCGAACTCGAATGCGTCGGAGTGAGAACAACAGACAACAGCCATTGTCACCATGTCGCTCACCTCTTTGTTGCCTCCTGGACTATCGCTCCTTCAGGGTATAGAGCTCTTCATTCAGCTAATTGGGGACACGACTGTGGTGAATAGGGCGGCAGGTCGGTATCGTATACTTTCATGAGTAACCACTGCCTGAGCACCAGCGGGTTTGACAGCCGCAGCGTCCACGTGGCTGGCTTACGACATATGTCTCACCCTAGCCGAGGAGGTATACGATATTTTGAATGCTTCTGATTGATGATTTCTAACCATCCGTTCAATGATTAGGTCGAACTTGTGTGGAAGTGAGTACCTAGAACATATGAGCTCGGTAATGCTGGAATTGACCTTTCCTGTCCAGGGCACGATGGTCACTTCCCAAAGTTCTATACTTCCTTGTGAGGTACTACGCTCTCTCAACCTCTCTGTGCGTCTTTCGTCCTATGCATTCACTGCCGCACATTCTCACTGCCCTCGGTGCAGGTTATACCTATCGGGTAAGCTGTGAGGACACTCTCAAAAAAGTTGAGTGCTCAACGTCCGTTCAGTCAATTCCAGCCCTGATCCCCCATTTGGAGTAAGCAACCTCGGCTCGATGAATAACTACGCAGCTCACTCTTCTTGAACCGTCTGGACTGGGTGCTAGATGTAAGCTCGCTTCTGCCCGCAGTATCCGAATGATGCACTCCGAACTAAAGGGCTTGTCTGCAGATGCCGCGGATGGCCCTGGTTCGAGGCATTGTGCGTGGCCTTCGTGTCGATATTGAGGACATCTTCTGAGAACAGGCGCAACAGTGCTATCGAATCTTTAAATTTCTTTAGCGAAGGCATGTTCGTCCTCAGACTCTGGGCTGCGTACCGAGAGAACAGATACGGTCAGCCGTCCCACACGGTTGGTTCGGCGCGAGGACTAACCCGAAGTGTATATATCGTCCGCAGCGCGGGCTCTCATCGCATTCTGCTACACTGGTGAGTCACGGACCATTTCAAGCTAGACGAAGTGCTCACAGGGGTACAGCGGAAATTGCCGTGGGTGGAATTCCTGCGATGCGAAGGGTACTACTGATGTCAGACGTATGCAGGCGGCGATCCCCATAAGCGTTGTGGAGGCTCGCCTAATCACAATACTGCCGCGCCCAGCGAACTTCCCCCTACCTGGATGTTACACCCTCGCGAGTGTACCTCTCAGGAAATCCCTTGCCTCATGGGTTGTCAACTGTACGGTCGCAAGTGTGTCGTTGTCCTACCTCTTCATCCGATAGCCAAGCTACTATCTGCTGAGTCCCCCCTGTGCATAGCGACGTTTTTCGCCTTGATGCTATACAAATTCTTCACCGGCGACGCGTTTAAGCTTGAGCTGTCCGAAGCCAAGCGCAACCCGCTGGCCAAGTGGACAGAAGTGCGCCGTTTCAGTCCTTTGCTCTACCTGCTGCTCCGAGATGGAACGGCATACTTTGCAATGTATGTCTCATCCCTCTTCGTTTGAAGTGCTTCCTGACTCGGAGCTGACCGGGGATCTGACAGGATATTCCGTAAGTACTCACGATATCCCGCGCATCAACGCCATTCATTGACACCTGCCGTCCATCACTGCAGTCGTAAACGCCGTGAACATGGCGCTTTCTATTCGCGAGGAAGGCCGAGCTCTCGAAGGGATGGGCGTCGCATGGTTGGTTGCCGTCTCGTCCGTTGCTGTAAGTGACAATTCAAGATGCACTAGTTACAGCCGGAGTTCGGTGCCCATCACTGATCACTTATCCTGACTAGTCTTCGCGGCTGCTACTGAACCTGCGCGGATTCATCAGTGGGAGCGACAACATGTCCGGGGGCAAGTCGCAGAGTACGACGATGCGCTTCAAGGACAACACAGCAACAACGGAGAATGCTGAGCAGGGTGTTACGGTTGCCGGAGATGTAGAAGAGTGTCAGAGGCGCGACGTCGTTCCGGGACATTATGCTTGATATTCATGTTAGATTTAGTATCTGACATCGGGAACGGATGTATATATCGGCTGACACCCTCGACCGCCCGTATCAGTCGCTGAATCACCTGGGCTGACCTGAGTGCAGTCTCGAGAGTGCCAAAAACTTTCCTCAAGTTCAGGGCGAACTTCGCCGACACAGGGACGACGCCCAACGTCCTCTCCTCCCCATGTCCCACTGGGTCGCCCTCCGCACGAAACGCATGCGCCCTCATCTCCTTCACATAGATCTCCAACCCCCCAATCTCGCATTGCCAATTTTGTCTTGGTTTCTTCCACTTCTTCTGTGGACGTGCATCCGATTCATAAAGCGAGCCAGCCTGATTCGCGATCACAGTCCACGCGTTCGTCTCCATCCCGGCTAGGTCGAGCACGTAGGCGAGCGTAGGAACGAGCGAACGAACGTCCGCAGACATGTCCTCGATGCCCCAGGCTTTACTGCGCCGATGAACCGGCATGCCTCCACCTTCTGTCCGTCTCCCCTATCTCCTACTGAGCTTCGTCGCATCTGCCGCTGGTCGCGCGTGAACGCGTCCGCGAGCTCTCCTCCCGCCATCAGCTCGCGCTCGCACACATCCTCCACGGACGTCTCGTCGTGCAGCGCGTCCTCTGCGCGTAGGCTGCCGAGCGCAAAACAGCCAGACGCACGACCACAACGACAGGGTTCAGCGTCGTGAGCGCGTACGCGGCGACCTTTGCATGCACGAACCTTAAAGAAGGACGCGCGGAGGAGCGTGCTCTTCCCGTGTTGGGCATCCTGACGAGCCCGACATCCGTGAGGAGCTTCATCTCAAGGCTGGCTGATATAGGCAACGCAGACAGCAGTTCCACTCGGGACAAGCAGGGAAGGATGAGCCTCACTAGTCTATGCGCGAGTCACTAGACGATGAAGGGAGTCTCTTTGCGCGTATCTGACCTTCATCCCCCCACTGATCATCACTGATCATCTCGTAATGGAGCCCTTCGTGTTCTTTTTCTAGCTGGAGAGCTGGGGCGCAATACTCACATTTTGCCTGCGTTTCCAGTCCGTCCTCCACTGCCGGCCTAGCTCATCCTGAGCTGCTGGTCTTCGCAGAGACAACTCTGCCGAGCTTGAGGTGCCTGCTTCAGCAATGACAGCGGTCGTGTAGCATCTTGGAGTAAACGTGGTGACGCTGTGGCTCCTAGGGAGGTTCACGGACGACGTGTAATGCACGCAGTCTGTGCGGGGACGCGCGCGAGCAGACGGCAACTATGAGGCGCCCGTTTTGCCCGCCCTGCCCTGAAGCTGGGACGCGATCGGGGCACGTTCTCTCGCCCCCTTCTCATTTGCCGCGATTTCGTTGCCACCACACGATATTTCCTCGTCTGCCCTCGAAGATGTAGACACATAAGTTGCACAGGGTAGTTCAAAGCAGTCAAGGTCCAATGCGCCTCCCTGCAATTCCTGGATCTGATCGGACAACACCCATTGGGTGATGGAGGCTCCTTTGCCATGCATGATCCCATTGAAGATCACATTGGCTTTGGGTCCACCGTCCATTCATGTGTCTTCCGCGTCCTCGACAAGACTGATGGATAGTAGAGAAAAATACTTCAAGGTTTTTGAGCTGCTGAACGCGGTAGGCGATTGCTCCTGTCATCCTATGTTTCGCTTCCTAGCGTAAGTCTGTCACGAATTCTCCCCTTTGCCCTTCTTTTACGTGTCATCCCACATACGGGTCAATCTCTTCGAGGCCATAGATTCCATTTCTGCACCCCCTTTCTCACCGAATGTGACGGATCGCACCGCCGTGGACCACACATGAGCTAACAAGATAGCGATTTGCATGGCGTAGGAACCTATCTGTCGTATTAGACGGTTCCTTCGAGTGATATTCTATCCATCTCTGTTTACCTCTCCACTGATACCTTTTCTTCCTCTGACTGTCTAGCTGTCCCTACGTCGCAGCTTCAGTGGCGGGCTTCCGACCCCTCCGTTCCACACAGGCTTTATGTTTCGCTCCCCGAGAACCGCGGCCTCTCGTTCTTCTGTAGATTGTCATACCCCGGGGTCGTCGGCTGCTTCATCCTGTGAAAAAGCAACAGAAGCAAGTGCTTTCCCACCGGTACCAGAATTGGGCTCTTGCGTCCTTCGGCGTACGTAAGTCATGATATGTTGATGCTGATTTCTCAGGCTTCCGGTGTCGCAAGCAGGTTGCGGAGTCTCCCGGGCCGATCGACAGCGCGGGAACTTCACGAGCGAGCAAACCACAATGCACGTCGAACAGCTGAACACAGCGGATAGCCGTTCAGCGATAATGCCCCGCAGGATCCTACAGCTTGGCACACACTCGTTATAACTATTCAAGGGCAGACTTGAAACGAGGCGGTTTCCGAAGGCAAACCAGGTCTGTCGGTCTATGCATCTGTTGCTTGCCTAGGCAGTACTCGGCTCAGCCGCATGCAATCCGGAAACCAGAAGTCTACGACAACCCTGCAAAGAACGTGTATGTGCAGAGAAGTCATGGTATCTAGCAGGTTCGGAGCTGATACTATCCCAGATGTTTATGACCTTTTGTCCACCTCTGTTATCGGAACGCTATCCAGTTCCTTCGCTGGTATTTACCTTAGCTGGTAAAGTTGAAGGGCCCTTTCCAGCGAATGCGAGACGTTCTTCGGGTCCCCAAGGCGCCTAGGCTCTAATCTGAACACGTTGACCTTTCCGCAACGGGTATGCAAGTGACGCTCACTGATAATATGCTGACCACTAGTTAAACACGTTCCTATCCCCTGAATTGAATCACCGAGCTTGATTCGCACTGCGTCGGTCTCACTGGGAAGGGAAGGCCTCGGAGACCTCAATCACAAACGCGTTCCCCGATGAGGTCAAAGGACGAGAGCCTACTCAAGCAATCACCCCCTAGTTAACAGTTTGAGGATGCGATTCACGTGGCGTAGGAACCAATCCACCAATTTGACTATACCTCTCACATGTGTGACCCTCCCAGTCGTCGGTCCGTCTGACACTTCCCACGTCGCGGATTCATACTCGAGCCTCCGACGCCACCGTCTTGCTTGGCTTCTATCTTTGTTCTCCGAGAAGCACGGCTGCGCATCTGTCTGCAAGGCCTCATGCTCCCTGGCCACGAAGCTAAACTCTATGTTACAGCGACAAAAGCATCACCCTCCCAGTAGGCACAAACCCACCATGTCTCTCTCCTCGTTGTCGCCTCTGGCTTCACTACTACCCCCAGGAGTCTCCATTCTCCAGGGATTACAGCTGTTCTTTCAAGTCATTCAAGATACATTCACGACGAACCTCGTAGCAGGTGGACAAGGCCTGGACTCTGGGCTGCTTAGTCACTCACTCGGTCGTTGTACTTAGCGGCAGCGGTCACGTGGATTGGTTACGACATTTGTCTGACATTTGCCGACGAGGTCTGTCTGTCTCTGCTGCATTTGCATTCGTCGTTCACTGAATGGTGTCCACATCAGGTTGAGCTGATCTGGAAGTGAATCAACTCACTCTGGATCCATGCATCAGTGTCTGACTTGACGTATTCGCACGCCGGAGCAGGGCAAGGTGGACGCTGCCCAAATTTCTGTACATCGCAGTGAGATATTATGGGTTCGCAGCTGCCTTGTAAGACCACACCGTTTTGCACCCTTTTTCAGTCTATCAGTTTCACTTCGTTGCAGATTTTACTTCGTCGGTGAGACATGTCTACAGGTACATTGTAGGAATGCTTGCTCAGCACTATGCACTAGTAAACACAAGCACAGACGCGCCCTTCCAGGTGAGTACAACCGCTTTCTAATGGTGTCAATGGAAGCCGCTAACCCGACCGTCGTCAGCTGTAAGCTTATACAGACAGGCTCCCGAGATGACCGTTATGTTAAAGCTAAATCACTACACCTAAGTTGCCGTGGCTGGGCTTACTACGAGGCATTGTGGGTAGCAAAAACGGGAATGATACACACTTACTGAACATCCCTGTATCTAGCGGTGCAACCGCAGTCATCGTGCTTCTGAGCGAAGCATTGTTCCTTCTACGCATCTGGATAGCTTACGGGAGAAACCAAAAGAGTGCGTCTCTTGGAGGATCTACCTGGCATAATAAACGTGGTACTAATCGAGTTTGCATATGTCGGCCGCGCCAAGTCCTCGCTTTTGTTCTGGTCTGCTACGTAGGTGAGCTCGAGAGGCACTTACTTGGAAGCTTTCCAATACTGACTTGCGTGTAGCGGAGATCGCGGTGAGTGTAGGCCTGAGCAGTCGTTGTCTCTCACATAACATCCAATTCCTCAGAGCTCTCTCGCAGTCGGTATAGTTGAGGGACGAACCCATCAGTAAAACTGACAATCTCTTAACTACTTATGGCTCTTAAAAGCGCTCGCTCAGAGGTCTAAGAGCTTTCAGAACCAGTACTCCGGGCGACAACTTGGGAGCAGCTCCGGGGCCAGATTCAAGCAGAAGTACATGTTGTATAGTACACATCTATGGACATGTAATCATACTAGAATCTCATGAGAGTGATAGTCAGCGTACCAATTAACGTAGAAACGACGGAATGCATCAAGGGAGTCGGTGTAATCGAAGTCTGTGGGAAGCGCTGTCCTGCCGTATACTCCCACAAGATGACAGGCTCGAATGATGGAATCTATGTGAATGATACCCCAAACACGCTCCCCAGCAGCGTCCAACTCTGGTCTAACAACCCACATGCCTGT